AAAGAAAAGGGAAGAGAGAAAAGAAGAGAGGAAATGACAAAGAAAAGGAAGTAGAAAAAAAAAAGTAAGAAAAAGAAGAAGGAGACGGGAGGCAGAAGAGAAAAGAAAGAGAGGAAGAAAGGAAAAGAGAGAGGAAGAAGAGAAAATGAGGAAAAGGAAGAGAAGTGGTGATATATATAAGGCTTATACGGTCCGTATAATCCTTATTGGCGTGTCGCATCAATAAATTTCAATTTTTTCAAGAAAAATTTTGACGCATTAATAATATTCAGATCGAAATCGGTCTGAATACAAATAAATTAGGGCAAAATCAAAAAGATTCAAATTTACGGTAAAAATTTGGCGCATAAATTAATTACGGACCATAAGGCTTATACGAACCGAAAACGGTCCGCATAATCCTTATTGGTGCCCCACAACAAAAAATTTCAATTTTTTCGGGAAAATTTTTTGGCGCATTAATAATATTTAGATCTGAATATAAATAAATTCCGCAGAATCAGAGATATTCAAATTCACGGTAAAAATTTGGTGCATAAATTAATTACGGATTGATTTCGGTCCGTATATGTATTTACAATACAATTGATCACATTAATATATTCGGGCCGATTTTGGTCCAAATATTTTGGGAAAAGATTCACAGGGCACATTTTTATTCTTTTCATTTAAGGACATTACCATTTTCTCGTGTCCTCAATCCATTCCTGTGAAAACTAATTGCATGTACACCGACCCTACAATTCCTTAGAACCACGAAAGCATCGATTGTCTACCTAAAATTATCTTATAATGGTATTGAATAATATCGTTGCAAAACCACAAATGTATAAGTTTCAGGTTATTAGAGAGATAATATTACGTAATGCTCTTTCGGAGTAACAAGCAAATAAAATTCTTTTTTTTTTCTTAAGGTTAATCACTTTGACTTGCAAACATTCGGAATGTTACGGTTTAAAATGAGAGTAGAACGATTTAAGCATGAAATAACAAAAAATAAAAAGTGGTGTTCAGGGGAATATACGGACCGATCTCGGTCCGTATAGATATATACGGACTGGTATCGGTCCGAATATAGGCAATCCGAGAGATTTTTTACCCACAGCTAAATTAAATTAAGTATGAATATATATATAGACTGGTTTTTGTCTGAATATATACAAACAATCTAGAAGCTTCCATACTTTTCATTTTTTAGATCGATTTTGATCCGAATATACTAGAAAAAATCCAGAAACTTCTCCCAGTGCATATTTTTATTCTTTTCATTTAAGAACATTACCATCTTCTCGTGTCCTAAATCCATTCCTGCGAAAACCAATTGCATGTACATCGACCCTACAATCCCTTGGAACCACAAAACCATCGATTGTTTACCTGAAATTATCTTACGATGGTACGGAGTAATATCGTTGCAAAACCACAAACGTATAAGTTGAAAGTTATTAGAAATAACGTTACGTAATACTCTTTCGGAGTCACAAGCAAACAAAATTAATTTTTTTTATTTAGGTTAACCACTTTGCTTGCAAACATTCGGAATGTTATGGTTTAAAACGAGAGTAGAACGACTTAAGCATGAAATAACAAAAAAAATAAAAAGCTGTTGTTCAGGGGCATATACGGACCGGTATCAGTCCGAATATAGGCACTCCGAGGGATTTTTTATCGTAAAGCTAAATTAAATTAAGTATGAATATATATTTAATAAAACTTATACTTATTTGGTAAGTATAAACATTTATACATGAAAAATTTTAAAGTTCACAATGTAACCTAGGAAAAAAAAAAGTTGTTGTTCATGGAATATACGGACCGATCTCGGTCCGTATACATATATATGGACCGTCATCGGTCCGTATACATATATACGAATCGATGTATACGGACCGAGATCGGTCCGTATATATCATTTAAAGAAAAAAAAGCAATAAAAAATAATGAAAACAGATTTATTTTATTTAATAATTACATAATATTACCAAATAATGTAAAAATATATTTTACCATTCAAAATAAATGCATTTATAAAAAAATAAAATATGCTTAAAATAATTATTTAAAATGACTTAAAATATGTAAAAGTTTAATTATATTATACACGAAAAATTTTAAAGTTCACCAAATGTAACTTAGAAAAAAAAAGAAGCTATTGTTCAGGGCATATACGAACCAATCCCAGTCCGTATACATATAACGGACCGATGATGGTCCGTATATATGTATACGGACCGAGATCGGTCCGT